GGGAGAGAGAAAGAAAAAGACAGTGGAGGAGACAGAGCAAGCGAAAGGCAGTGAAAGTGAGAATGCATGAGAGGGAGAGAGGGAACGAGCAGGAGGACTGAACACTCCGGTTCGTTTCACACCGTTAAACCATCTGAAGCATTCGCCAGTGACTACTGGTTGAAGGGCCGGTGTGTGCACTGCGTTATCATAAACATTTGGGATTCACTTCATGGAGGCACTTTAATGATGCTTTTAGCATAATTTCCCCTCTGTAACGTGAAGGGCAAGTAGCGCCTTTCTGTCTGCCTGCAGCTTCTGCGAACCTTATAAATATCGGCTATTTAAACAAGGGTAAGGATGGAGATGCTATTCACAAAGTCTTCATCCCCACTATTTAAATTCTCTAATATGAACACCATTGTTTAGTTTTGACACTTTTGACACTATGTATACTATTCTCACATAATGCATGTATATTTATTTGTATCAGACAATGTCTAGCAAGATCCAAAGTTCATATAACAATTAGCTATAGAAAGTTGGGTGAACCTGGTTAGCCTCCATAGGGTGTCAGAGTTGTTTTTTTCTAATTCTAGGTTGTCCATGCCGAGAGGAACGAGTCAAAAAAAAAAAGAAAAAGAAGAAAATACAAAAAGGACAGCTTTGTTTTCATCCGGGCTGTTATCAGCAGAAGCCGACTGGAGCGAGAATAGGGAGGGATGATTTCCATAAAGACTGGCTGTTGTCTGAAAGCAAGCAGCTGTCAGGCGGAATTACCTCTCCGACACAGACACCACAATCGAGGGTGCCCTTCCCATAATTCAGTCTGATTGGCTCAAGGGGAAAATGGCAGCCTGTGGAGAGTGAGGCGAGCGGCTGGTTGACAGGTTTGCATCTGCGAAGCTAGACGCGGCGTTTACCTGTTATCATTCTGTCTGCTCCATGTGTCGGTTTTCTCATTTTGGAAAGCTACCTGAACAAAGTGGCACGGAGAATAGAGTCTATGGTGCCAGGAGGCAAGTGCGTGCCTACAAACCGTATTACACACATGCACAAAACACGAACACACTTACCCTAGTGAATCCTATTAAGGTCTCCTGTTAGAACACTATGTTAAGATTTACCAGATTTTCCCACCTTAATTTATATAAAGTCATACTGCCTATATGAATGTTTTAATACTTCTTTAGTGATGTCATACACGCGCCTGTTAATGACAATGTAAAAAGTACATTTTATGTACACATCACACTAATCTATACAATTTTTTTAAAGCAGCATAAAAGCGCCTCTTATTTAAAAACATGTTATTTATATAAGCAGTCATCTGTGCCTACCTCTACTGATAAATAAGAAAACTAATACATTTTGGTTAATACTTATTCATCCCTTTCACCTTTTTGCTAAGAGTTCTAGTACCATGAAAAAGACTTGAACCAAGCTACATTGTTTTAGATTTTGCTCAGTATTTCTCCAGCCTTTCTGAAGTTCTTTTAAAGCTTTTCTTTGAACATTAGCAGGTTTTTTACTCATATACATATATGTGTATATATATATGTTCGTTAAGCAACTTAAACCTGACTCATTCGAGATTACAAAAGGCACTTAAATCAAAGGTTGAGACAGTTTTATAACAGAAAATTTAGCAAAGAACCAATTTAAAAATTGTATATGTAGGAACTTTGTTGCTAGTAGTCTGTCACACAAAAAAACCAATTTCCTCTCAATTATGCCAGAAATGCCAATGATAACACAAACTGACAGACATAAAATAGTATTTTTGAAACAAGATTTACAAAGATATCTAAGCTGAAAATTTGGTGTTTTGTGGCATTGTGTGCAGTGTGTCCTTAAGAAATTTGAGAAATCGGACAAATGAAGAACAAAAGAAGAGTATTGTGCCAGGAGGTAGGTGCAGATGAAAAGGATCTGACAGTCATGTTCTTAAGAAATGGGATAAAATTCAACAAACCCACGACACACCTGCTGTACTTATGGATGTGAAGATCTTTATTCAAAGAGCATAGCTAGAACAGAGACGCTTGACTAGTTAGAAAGCAAAATGCTAAAGTGCCTGTTCCAGATTTAGAAATACACCCCACGTTTTTTTCATTTCTCAGTCTTAGATGAAGCCAGTCGGTCGTTTTCACAACTCTTTATACTAAAGTGAGCTTATCCCCCGTCATTCAACTCTTTGTACGCAAAGGAAAGGTGATAAGGTTAATAAGGTATAACGTGTGTTTTACAAAATGTAATTTTCCATTTTAGATGAAATGACAGGCATCCTAGTTTAAATTAAAAATTAGTTACAATTATATAAAAAAATGTTACAAAATGATGCAAAAAATGTGTAATTCAGGGAATGTAGTGCAGACAAACATGCACATAATAATACACTGTCACATTCAAATACACACACACACACACACACACACACACACACACGCACTCCACACCTATGTTAAGTGCTCTTATCTGTGACTTGTGTAGAGGTGAGTGACAGGAAGGGATGCACGGGGGGGAAGTGTCCTTTAGGTGTCTTAATTATGGCTCCTCTCCTCCCTCTCGCTGTCACCATCCCCAGGGGAGGGCAAAACAAAAGGAAGGTAACGTTTCATCTCTACTGCCTTGGTATTTCAAATTCCAAGGGGAGTAAGAGGAGAGAGACAGCGGGCTGCTTCACTGGCGGAAGAAGAGGAAATCAAGTGATCCTTTGCCTTTCTCTCCATTTCTTGCCTGGTTTGCAGCTGTGTTTAAAATAAGGCACCTTAATAAAAGTGTTTTAATGGCATCAAGGCAGGAAAAAAGGTGCAACTTGATTACTGTGACAGTTTTATTTAATGAGCTCAAAGCCTCTGGCTCCGACTTGCGATTCGTTTATTACTTTGTTGTGGAGTGACAAAATGGAGCAGAGGGAGCGAGAGAACGAGGCTGGATGTTCTTATTGTGGAAGCCGTCCACGGCGTTAGCAGTAGTCTTTCTGATTTGCACCCTCCTCGGTGCTCACCTGTATTTTCATCCGTTCCCGCTGCGGGAATGCTACTCGGCATGACAGAACGAGCGGGAGGAGGGTGGGGTGTGAGAGACACCTTGACAGGTAGGCAGACACAAAGATAGCACGCTGTTAATTATTGATGGAGGAAAAACTGCTCATTGGATGTCTCGAAGGGCAACACTTGGTGGATGTGAATACAAATGTGTGTGTGTGTCTGTATATTTGTGTGTGCAGGAGAACCAAAAAAACAAAACAAAACCCAAAACAATGCTGAGAGAAAACGGCACTAAGCAAAAGAAATGGTGAGGGGCTAGGCTGGAAGTGTTGGGTGAGGAGTCGATAGAGTGATGGCAGTGATACCTGGTAAAGACACATTAGCGAGATACAGAGGGAGTCTATAAAAGCAAACTACTACTTAATGTCCCTCACAAGTGTGATAAAAGCATAGAGCTGCAGCAGAGAACGCTGGTCTTACCATTTGTGCGAACAGAACAAGGGAGCACTCAAAAAAATCAGCTATTATACACAAATGCTAATAGAAAATGATTTTGAGAATGTGTTTGCGGCAAGATTTCTATAAAGGTCAGCTCTTTTGTTTTGGGACACGAGCCCCCTCTCATGAAAATATTGACTGAGAGAAGGGGAGCAATGCAAAGAGTGGTCTTAAAATGTGATGGACAAAGAGCATGGTTTCTTATCAGTATTCAGAGAGCTTGCCCTCTTATAAATATTGGAAGAAGGACACTGGTGGGGAAAGGAAACGGGCAAATGGCGCATTTGAGAAATGGCACACCTGAGCACCACACGGAATATCATCTCCTCCTGTCAGATCTCATCCCATTTGATCAAAATAATTGCCACCTTCATCGTTACCATCAATTCTGTCATCTTCACTGGAGCCATTGCCGCTCCCCATCTCATCAGGTCTTCTTCGGTTTCGAGGGTGGGAGGGGGGGATTTTTGGATTGGATCAAATGCACGCCATCTCGTCTCAAGAAAAATCACTCAAGGTGCACCCTCAAATAGTCATCAGCATATTTATTGTTTCAGTGCTACTGACATTTTCTTCACCTATTAAGGTATTCTGACATTAACAAATGTTTGACGGGTACAAGAATAGCCTGGTTAAGTCAGGCAGGCTTGTCTGTCATAGATGTCCGGAGAGAGGGCCCTGCTGTGCCTTCTAATATGGTGACTCTCAGAGCAGTCAACAGGGAAATGAAGAAAATTAGAGAACAAAAATGGGAAAAGAACAGTATGATCACTGCCTGAGGGTTGCCAAACACCAAACAATATCTCTGAAATGCATTTCCCGGTAAAACGGCTCTTCTGTCAGACAGCCAAATGCCCAACAATAAATATGCAACCACAGTGTTGACATAAAATACAAGATTGTATAGGAAATTGGTGAATAAGATCATACCCTGGCAGTGTGCAGTTTCCTCTAAGCTACACCTCTCCACATATGCCTATCAACCTGTCTCCATTGTACAACTCACTAGGGCCCTTTTTGTACTACTCAAACAGCTTGTCTCATCTGCTTCCACTTTAGCAGGCTAATAACACTCGACAACGTAGCACAAGCGACTAGTCAAACCTCAGTTAGAGAGGGGCCAGCTCACTAACTGGAAACCACAAGTGCCATGGAGTGCTGTAATCCAGCACATACTGTATGCATACTGTCAAACACAACACAAAAAGCCCACATAACCACAGGAAAGAAGTGATCCACAATTTCACGTATCTTGTGCTAGACTCCAGTTTCAGCATCAGTAAGATAACAGAGACATACATGCACCAGTGTCACTTCCCAAGTTGTTGTCTAATGGCACTCAAATGCAGTTTGAGGCCCACATTTAGGAGTCTCTCTTCAAGATAAAAAGTCCTTCATGGCAAACTTGTTAAGTTTGTTAAATGTGCAATACTAAACACCTGGCAGGAGCTGAATGAGCAAAAACGAAAAATTGCTAAAGATAATGCACGAGGAAGTGAGGACGCCAACTTGTTTTTAGACACTCCTTACCTTGGCCATTTGGGCCTGCACCCCAGTGGCTTTGAGAGATGATACAGCCTTCTGTGCTGCAGCTGGGCTGTCGAAGTCCACAAAGCCATATCCTGGAGACAGAAAGGAGGAGAAAGGGAGAAGGAGAGGAAGAAAAAAAAGACATTAGTTAAGAAAAAAATTAAGGCAGATGACTAACAAGGAGAATGACAGGCACTTGGTAATTGTAGCAGTAATAGGTTGGTAACATGACTACAGAGGCTGCCAGTTCTCATATCTAGTGAGCACTACATTGTTTGATAATTAGCGACACTGACGTTCATAGGGGGATGCTATGCATCTTAATTAGTAGCATGGATGAGCGATTTAGTAATAACAAAACCCGGCACCCTGCCCACCTCCACCTCCGCACATACGTAGTCTGATACACTGCATGCATGCGTAAACGCGCAGATATACACACTCGAATAAGACAACCGGTATCGTAAGAATAAGGGAACATCACTGTTTGTCAGTTTGTTGTTTAATGATAACCCATATGCATTCAGTTCATTAAGTAGGTTAATTAAAGTAATGGTTATTTATGAAAGGCTTGTGATTTAAAATCAATGATTAAAGGATATTACACACACTATACACTCACATACACGCGGAGATGTGTCAATTAATTCTTCAAAACGTCACGTTTCACTTGTTCAGCCTTTTGATTTCTGGAGGCTGTGAAGCTGGCTGGCCCACATCGTGTTCCTCAACACCCGGCATATTAGCACAACCCCATTTCACAGCCTCCATAATCCTCTCCCCGGTAACAAATCTCTCAAAGGTTGACAGCATACCAAAGCTGCTGCCATTTCTCCTTCTCTTTCTTCAACTCCATCTCTCTCACATAGACATAAAGACACACTATTTCTTACAATTTAGCTTTTCTGTTCATCTTCTAACACTTTTCCTCCGTCCTTTTCTTTCCCTAACACACTTTCTGTCTCTCGCTTTCTCTCTCTCTCTCGCATATTTTTCTGACATTAACAGCCACAAGGCCCCATCTGGAAATTCATCAGCGGCGGAAAGCGGGGGGAATGAAATCTGTGGCTGTGATTTATGAGTTATTGTGATCTCGACGTTCTCCGGTATGTATCGGCGACGGGGGTCACGTCTGTGTTAATTAAAATTTGGTGGCGGATTAAAAGCAGTCAATGGTGCCCTCTGATCCACTGTTTCAGAAGGAAAGTGTAATTAGAAAAGGATAATGCCTGTGAGATGGTGGGGCTGCGGAGGGGTTTGGGGGTGGGGACTTGGCATTGCGGTTACCCCATCAACTCACCCCGTGTGTGCCCGTGTGCAGCTTTATGCGAGCATCTCACTTTCCCGATTATTTGAGGTGCGCGTCTGCGGCGGTAGCGACGACTGGGGGTAAGGGGGTTGGGGTCACTTTCCTGTCGGGCGGCGGCAAACGAGTGTGGAGTAATGTGAAAATCATAACTAGAGGTGGAAGAGAAATCGAGCGCGAGGACTGATTAATGGCCAGCTGTTAGAGCGAGGCTGCGTTTAATTGTGGAAATATGAAGGGCCGGAATGAGAAGTCCACAGGCAATATTAAGAGAAACCAGTCATTTTCTTAAAAATAAATGCAATCAAGGACTATTTTTCCAAGTAGCCGCAGTGCACTCACCCATTGTTATATTAGCAAACGTATAATTTTGAAATTTTAATCCGTATTTAAAGAGAGCCCGGCTGAGCTTTAAAAATATATTTAATTGAGGGTTTTGGCTTAACCAATTACAAAAAGACATAAAAAATAAAAATCTTTCCTTCCTGTCTTCAGTGATATTTACCCATGCAGATATTTGTATTGACCTGATTAAGAGACAACTATCTGACCTCCCAGTTCCACTGGATTCCAGTGATTATTTGCTGTTGTGAAACAGACATTAATGCGTATTTTCAGACACAGCATACAAAATCAGTGTGCCTTCATATATCTCCACAGTGTACAACACAGGTCTATAAACCTTTACTATATATTATATAGGTATAAAAACACAATTTTCTCCAAATATCTTCTTCTTGGGTGCTGCACAAAAAGCAGACCCATAATCACAACAATCCAAACAGACTGCTGTGTATGCTTTCTGGATTTATTATTATGTATTACATTTCAGAAAGGCAAACTGAATTTTCTTTAGACTCTTTCACTCCATACTGACAAACATCAAACAGCGTAGCCTTCTTATTGCACGCACCTCGTGGAGACAACTTGAAAAGAATTCCCATCAAGTGAATTTCTGATGCTGAGTGACATCTGTGTCTCTCATGGAAGCACCTACACTGGTTATGAGAGTAAACTCATTATTTATTAAGAGTATTCCCTTGAACATATCACACCCGTGTTCCTCTGTAACTGTCTGAAAAGGCCTTTGAAATGCTTAAATGCTATTTTCATTACTGTGAGTGCCAAAAATAAAATTTCATTTGGCATCTCTGGTCATTTGGGTAAACAGACCCTTTAAATGTTTGCAGATTCTACAAATTAACACTTTAAAAAAATGTATTACGAGCACATTTAGAGAACTACATATTATGTTATCGAGGTCCTCAGGGCGATGGCTTATTTTCTTTAACAATCAGAAACCAGAATATTTAAATCGTGGATACTTTGAACCCCCAATTACAAATTTAATATTTACCCGACTACCACCTGGAGTGCACTTATCAAACTTGGATGAGGATTTCAGAGATTGCTGACCTACATTCAAATCTCTCTAAACCGAGAGAGAAGCGGGAGAAAGGTGGAGGCAAGTGAAAAGGTGTGTAGAGAAGAAAGGCAGACTGAGGAAGGGGGTGATTTCAGGTCAGTCAAATACACTCAAAAAGCCTGAATTGACACTCAGTAAAAGATCCAGTTTGCTCTTCCAATGTGAAGTTACTGCAGCTGATATTCGTATAATGATTCTGTAATGTGGAATGTTTGAACTGTAGCCACAGGGTAAAAAGAGTTAAAGGCTTTTTTTGTTGAAAAGGAAAATAATAATTGAGAGATACAGAGACATTTTAAGACTATTTGTGCTTTTATCGGGCTGAATGGTTATAGAGGTTATAGAAAGCCTGAGTCTTTCAGTTTTTGTATAGATATATGAGCTCTTTTGTTGGAGTTTTAAAAGTCTAGAGTTAAGCAATAAGTCATAAAGAAACAATTTATACATTATGTTTCTACTATGAATTTAGATTCATGATTTATCTGTTACTACATATGCTTTCTTATATACTTGTGTAAGGAAATATTCAATGAATTCCTCATTAGATATAATATATTTTGAACTAAAAAGAACATATAATTGTTTGGGATATAAACATATAATTTAGTGCCTCATACTGTACCTTATTAGGCTAAATGGAAGTAGCATTGAAAATTAATAGTAGTATGTAGATTACTTTTTTGTTAAGCTAACACTGGTGATTAAAAACACGTCAGCAATCCATCTGTTATGTTTGGTTCCCCTCTCAGAGCTGAATACTCGTTACCTAGTTTGCTAAGATTTGCAATAATCGCTCGGAAAAAGGAAAAAATAACAACTTTTGGTAACATACATAATTACCCCAAGTGATACGACTTCATCAAAAACAGTGTAATTTTATTTTAAAGTAATTATGATTATGCTGTGTGGATTATGCACAGTAACAGGTTATTGCTTTTCTTAAAGCCACACCGACACTGCAATTTGATTTGAGAAAAAAGAAGATACTGGTTCCAATATAGTGGAGTAAAAGGTAAATAAATCTAATCATATAGACAAATATAACACAACAATGCACATTAAATATAAGTATCAGCTTTATTTAATACTATTAGACATGAAAGCAGTTCTCTTCCTGTAATTTCAATAAAATGATCCTCAAAGACTCGCTCTGTATGTACTTGTTTGTTTACTTATACAGTGTACTTGTACACTGTAAAGTATGCACACAATTACTCAATACACAGATCCTCGGTGAGTCACTGAACAGGAAAAAACTCCATTAAGTTGTGAGAAAGCTGCAGGGTCAAGAAACAATGTGGCGCTCAATTTAAGACATCACATTCCACACACTTAGAGAACACAAACACACACCCACCTACACACAGATGCACGCAGATGTTGCTTGAAGAATGAGTTTCCGAAGCCAAGTACATGCCGTACTGGTGCTGCATTCGATGCGGGTACTCTAGAGTTACAATCTCAAGTGGGATGCAGAGGGCAAGGTGCTGCTTTGATGCTTCTGCACAAACGCAAACCTCCAATCGATAGCTGTCACTTAAAAGCAGCTCAAAGTGACTGACGACATGTGAGGTTGTTGATAATGCTGTGCAGATGCACGCTAATATGCAGATTGACGCAAAGTGCTGCTGAAGGACACATATATCCACACTTGCACACTCGGAGCATGGCACCCTCCTACCTACACACGTGCGCGCACACACACACACACACACACAGTCTCTCTGAGAACATGAGCTGCCATATCATATTTCCTGGTCTGGCTCTAAGTGGGAGCCTGTCAAGATAAAAGGACCATCCTCAATCAGTTACTACATGATAGACGCTAGCACTGCTCAGTGACTGCTTTTGTATGAATGTGTGTGTGAGACGCAGGGCGCTCCTTAATACAGTCCCCTTAAGGAGGTGTAGAACTACAGTAGATGCCACCTTGGGCTACGCTCTGCATAAAAGCCTACATTGGAGAGTGGAGATAAGGGACTCATTACAGTGCTTGCATCGACATATCAATCAAGTATGCATCATTCATGCATTCACTGTCATATTATGCTAATCCTAATTACTTTGGGGAAAATTACTATTCTTTATCTGCTAATAGTCAGGATTGTTTAGGGTTTTCTACCTACAATATCCACCACAATTTTCCCCAATATATCCATTTTTCACATTCTCATATTCAGGGCTAATGATCCCATTTTGCACAGCGCACAATGGAATAATAATGCCCTAAGTATGAATAATGAATCGACGACAAGTCACGGGGCATTACAATGGTGTGCAGGGGGAAACAGCGTAATTGTTTACGTCGCTGTGAGTCATCAAGATGACTTCTAAAGCTGCTGCTGTTGCATGTGGATGAT